GCTGATCGTCACCGGTGTCGGCGGCATCACGGTGCAGCGCGACGGCCTGCGGCGGACGCGAAACGGCGTAACCTTGAACTTCAGGATCTTCAACGCAGATTCCGTGGTCATTCGGCGCTCTGCCTTCTTCGGCTGGTGGAACGGGAACTGCCGTGTGTGGATAGAGAACATTCGCCACGTGACAGTGGAACAATATGGATTTTTCTACCTATCGTCCTTCCTCGGACCGACTGTCGAATTTATTGATGTGGACTCCCTGGAGCTGGCACCAGCGGCCATCGCGGCACCCATCGACACCCTTCACATGGAGCGTTTACATATGCCTGCATGCCATTGGGCCAGCATCGGCAGTTCCGTCCAACACCTGGTCATGAATCAAGTCAACGTCACAAAGGTTTGGACTGGGTGCCTCGACGCAGCGCGAAACTACATGAAACAAATGTATGTTGGTTTTTCCGCTTTCGGTGTTGTGCAGACTAACGGATTCAAGGGCAACATTACCGAAGTCGTCATCGCCAGCACGCGTGTCACGTCAATGAAAACGAGCGGCTTTCAACTACAGGTGGACAAACTGCAGATAAATCAGTCATATATAGACACATTGGAACCCAGCGGGATCACCGTCTCTGCCAAAACCAGCATCCTCCTCAATACTGTGACCGTACAGACTCTGAGGCGACACGCTCTGATCGGTCTCACCGGTGAAGGCGCCGTCGGTGCCTCCACCAGCAGTCCGTCTATCCGCCTAGAGACTCTCCGTGTGAAGCGGAGCGCCGAGCCCGGCTCCCTGGCGCTCGCCGAGTGCGCTCCGGTCGAGGTTCTGGGCCTGTACGTGGCGCCCCAGTGGCCCCGTGTGTGTCCCACCGAACGGTGGACGCGCCAGCTGGTGGGTATCGCCAACGGCATCCCCCTCGACCGGGTCCAGTTCCAGATATACCAGCAACTGGCGGCCACCAAGCCCTGCACACAGGACCAGTGGCAGCCACTGACCGTGGCAGATGTCGACGACAGTCGCTGCGCAGACGACTCCGGCCGGAGGAGCTCCACAGCCAGCGGGAGGAGCTCCACAGCCAGCGGGAGGACACACGCAGCCGGCAGGAGGACACACACAGCCGGCAGGAGGACACAAGCAGCCGGCAGGACCTCCACAGCCGGCGGGAGGACACACGCAGCCGGCGGGAGGACCTCCACCGTCCGTCCCGGTCGACGACCGGAGCCGACAGGTGGACCCCCTCCAGTGGCCCCCACTGCGCCCGTTGTGTCGGAACTCCCCGGTACCACAGCAGTGCCGAGTGTGTCGGAGCCCCCCGGTACCACAGCAGTGCCCAGTGTGTCGGAGTCCTCCAGTAGTGCTGCGGTACCCAGTGCGTCGGAACTCCCCGGTACCACAGCAGTGCCCAGTGTGTCGGAGTCCCCCGCCAGCGCGGCAGCGCCCGGCGCCCGCTGGCCGCTGCCGCTCGGCCTGGCCCTGGCCGGGGCGCTGGTCCTGGCTCTGGGGGCGGCCGGGCTCCTGCTGGTCCGCCGGCTCCGGCTCCGCGCCTCTCCTCCGACCGCCGCGCCGTCGGCAGAGGGGTGCCGGGACCGCAGCACGGGCGGCCGGTCGGCCCGGGAGTGCCCGCAGCACGGTGACTGCCCGGCCGCGGACAGCTCCACCCTCCATCCACCCGAGGTGTGCGACTACGCCGAGCCTCTGCGGGCAGCTCCACCCGTAGACGGAGACTACGCCGAGATCCCCCCGCCAGCCGACTACGCCTCTCCGATCTCGGCGAGAGAGGACGCAGCGACAAACTTCGGACACTGGGCCCAGATTCCTGGTTCGACCGACTACGCAGTTCCAGTCACATTTGCTGAATACAAAGTGACTACGTGCGAGGACTACGCCGAGATCTTGAGGCCAGCTGAAGTTACTTCCGCAGTCCCAGCGACCAAAGTCATGGCTGCAAACTCCGGAGACTACGCGGAGATTCCCGGCCTGGCCGACTGCGCCCCTACTGCCATACTAAGGACTGGGGACGCGGCTGGCTACGCGGAGATTCCCTGCAGCCTGGCCGATGGCGCCTCCCCAGCCTCAGCGACTGCAGACCTGGTGGCTGGTGGTGAGGGCCGCGCACCTACCCCGCCGAGCAGTGACGGCGGGCCCTCGGCTGCGGGCGGGCCCGGCTCTGTCGCTGAGAGCGTGCCGCCGCCGGTGCCGCCGGCCACCGCAGAGCGGCTCCAGATGGCCGACGAGCTGACGGAGAACCCGCTGTACGTCTCCACACTCGATGTGGGGAAAAACGAGATCGAATCCAGTCACAGCGACGGGTAGCAGCATCCTCAGTTCGGCATAGTATGAGAGCATTTGGTATATGTGTTTCTTGCTAGCCTCTAATGCATGCATTGTCATGCTAGGCGGAAGGGAGAGGCGACAACAATGACGAAAGCAAGCCGCTGGCCTTCCGAAACGAGACTGAAAACTGCTTCCAACGTCCATATTACAGGCTGTGCTTTTTCCCGCATATGCCCAGCAGTCTTCATTATAGGCAAAGCCTTCGTCTATATGTGTATACTGTACATGCGGCATATGGATTGTGCACATTAAAGGTGTGCTTGAGGATTTGTAATATGCATGTGTTGTGTACTATGTTTGCATGTGAAACGTGTATTCGGTTACACTCCACATAAAGGGTTTCGTGTTATGAAAATAGGCTAGTTTTGCTTGGTTTTACTAGTTGAACAAGCAGTGCACGGATATTTTAAATAAGCAGTTACATCATATAAAGGGGACCGGATTCGTCTAAAACAAAACGGTATAGACGTCTTTAAAAAGCACCGAAGGAGTTATAAGGAGTTTATAGTAGCCGAAACCTGTCTGCTTGATTTGTAATTGCTTATTCCCAATATTCGTGTACTACTTACTCAAGTTATATGTACTTGTCCAATATATCTATGTACAGTTGCTTTATTATGTTTCCTTTCTTCATGTGCTTCAACAATTTATGTGATAATAAGAGTGAGCTTACCTGACTCTAGGTGCATCCTTCAGCCAGGAAACACGTATTTTTACTTGACAGTTCTTTAGGCGAAATGTGAACCTCGAATCCACTTATCAATTCAGAGGTTAGCAGATGACCACTGTTTGGCTGATTCGGCAACTGGCAGTATGCGACGGGTGTCAATATTCCCGATTAAGCTAATTTTCGCTCCTTAGATATGAGAATAGCATTAACACTAAAAATCTTTCTTTTTTCACTAAGCGATCTGAGGCTTAACCCGGCAGTTGCTGGGGTATTTCGCCACCCACCGTTTGCTGGGGGGGGGGGGGGCGTTAAACGCCCCCAGCCGATAACTCGAGAACCAATAGGCGCAGCGAAACGCACGAGGCGGCAAACGAAAGAGCGCGACGAGACGATTCAGATGAGTACTTTAAAGTTGAATTTTGAGGTCACAGGTCGGGTCAAGGTCAGGTCAAACACCTGAAATCGGGCTTTCGGTAGCATGGACTTCAAGACTTCGCAATGGGCGCCTCTCGCCATTAACTCTGTCAAAACGGTGCACAATCCATCTTATAAGGCCTACAAGAGTGTCAGCTTCATATAGGGGTCAGTCAAGCACAGGTCAGGGTCAAGGTCAGGTCAACCGGGTAGGCACATATCCCCGAAAATCAAAACTGATATTCGCAGCCTGTGACACATGTTTTATAGGTAATTTGGGGCGTAGAACACGATGGTGACATTCATTTTATCATATGTGTACGTGTTTGGCTCAAAAAGTTCAATTTAAGAAATTCATGTATCATGGTCGTGAAGAAGTCACGAAAAATTGCCAAGATTCAGTTCAAGATTTTGGAAAATGCGGAACGATAATCAATAATCGAAGATAGCCATTTGATTGATCATGGTATTGGCAGTCTAATGGCGTTTACGGAATGTCTGTATGTCTATTCTGTGATTTTATATGATTTTTTGAACATATGCCGTTTTTGGTCGAAAAGTCAGAAATCATGACGTCACTAAAACCTCGATATCTCAAAAATTTTCCGACCGATTTTTTTGAAACTTTGTCACAATAAACTTCAATTAATTCCCTACAGGTACCCAAAATTTGGCGCGCCTGCGGCGCGCCGTTTTTATGCTATGGCCCGGCGAAAAAAGTGGGGGCGTTTAACGCCCCCCCCCCCCCAGCAACTCGCGGGTTAATTAATCATGAAAGTTACGAAGCTAATTTCAGTTCATCCTAAATACTGCTCTCTTATTTCAAGTTGCCATGTCACAGATAGAGTCGGGCAGAAGGATGGGAGTCAATTACACAATCATTTATTTAGATACACATGGAAGCACATGACGTGTTGTTAAAGGGAATAGTTCACTTTCCCGAAATTAGTTTTTTTGCAATGGATTTATGATTTTTTATGTCAAAATGATCAGGAAAGAAAATAAAACCTTTGAAAATATTATTTTTAATATTTTTATACAGGAAGAACTATGCTCTAGGTAAAATATTGTTTGGCGCTGAGGCTTTTTACGCGTTGACCAATCATATTGCGCAGTTCAAACATCGGCTGTAACCAGCATGCTGATTGGCTGACGATAACGTGGCGGCATTCCTCAGCAAGGCACTTTTTCGGGACGAGAAATGGAACATCTTCGTGTAGGGTGATCGTTGAGCCGTAAAAGCTTCTGATTTGTGCTAGTCTCAGCTCAAGCTACGAAACTGCTATTCCATTTCAAAACCCCATGTTAAAAGAGAACTATTTCCTTTAAAAACATTTCCCTCTTCTAGGGTGACTCAAGACTGCTTACTGCTTAGTGCTTACGTCACTAGGACACATTACATAGTGAGTCTGAGTATACAGTACATAAGATGGCCCAGTCAGTCCGACACCTGGCGACTCCAGGCGGCCGGCCGGCGCGTGCAACAAGTCGCGGCCGCAGAATCGATGGCGGCCTCCAATTGATCCGCGTGACGTCAGCGCATCCGGGCGGCCGGGCTGGCGCGGCGCGCGCGCCGCCGCCGGCTCCACTCGGCAGCCGCGAGTCATGCCCTGACGAACATGCCGGCCCGGTGCCGCCATGAGCCGCGGCCGCACCACCCTGCTGCTGCTGGCCGGCCTGCTGGCCGCGCCGCCGCCGCCGCCGGCCGCCGCCCTCCACTTTATCGGTGAGTCCGCTGCTGACCGCGCCGCTGGCCGGGAGCGCCTGTGGCGGCAGGGCCGCGCCGCATCACCACCGGTCCGCCGCGGCCCTGCCGGCTGAGCGGCACAGTACCTGTCAACAGGACCTGGCTCCATCAGAGCTGGGACCACTCAGCGGGCCCGGCACACGGTCCGACCGAACCCGTGGCGCAGTCCGGCCAGCCGGGAGCGACCCCGCGCGCAGCCGGGCGCGCCCAATTTCACTCCATATGGTTCGATTTGGAACGCCATTGTTCTCCTCGTTGAAATGCTCTGCTCCCTATTCAGTCCCTACTGACTATGTACAAAGGGAAAATTGGCTCGTCACTGTACTGACGCTGTCTCCTTTTGGAAAAAAAAAAAACATGCTGTCTTTCCTCCACTTTGTTCCTTGTCTGTGTCAGAAGGGAGCAGTAGCATGACCTATTCTCCTAAGTTGCTGACGAATTGTGTGTATTTCCGGGCCAATGATACCATTCGAAGACAATAAAGAACTTAAAAGGCATACTAATAAATTCATGCACTTACATTTTTATTTGAATTTATTGAAGTTATCATTTGTCATTTATTATTCAAATTAACTCAAGTATTTGTAAATGAAATTTAGGATTAATTTCGGCAGGTGTTTTATTCTTCTGCAGCTGTTGTCTCGTTTCTTTAGATGAGAACAAATTATCAGCAAATCTGGTAATGTTAACCCTCGCACGACCAGGCCATTTCTCATAACACGAACGACCAGGGGGGGGGTTGTTACGACCCCCCCCCCCCCCTGGCGTTTCGAAACGGAAGGTCGTAGAGCTTAGCGGAAAAAACCAACGGATTGCTCTCAACGAGATCTCGCGATTGGTGGTATATTTTTTGGTCCTAGATCAACATTTGACCTACTTTTGACCGGTCAAAGGTCAAATTTTCGGAAAAATAGACTTTTTTCAACTTTCGGCGGCGATTGCGGCAAAACGGTGGGAGATATCGACTTGAAACCTTCACTATCGTGTTCCTTGATCAATTATCTATCGTTTGGTATGTATTTCGTTTCCCTAGCTCTAAAAATGGCGCTTTGGGAGCGCCGGAAGTCGGCAAGGTCACAGTCTGCGGCAGAAATTCGAAAAATCAAAATTTAAATTTTTGAAATCTGATTGTATTTTTGGATTTGGGAGGTCCATTTGCTCCCTATAGAAGCTAATATTGTTGCATATTCCCATTGAGGTGACAAGAATTAGCAAAATAGTGGTTCGGGCGCTTTTCAAAAATAGTACCGGACGCTGTTCCTCTTGTGACGTCATAGCTCCGTGACCTGACCTGACCCGGTCAAATTTTTTATACCATATGATAGCCAATACTTGCCCCAACATGCATGGGAAGTTTCATCACGATCCATCAACCGATGTCCGTACCACCGGCAGGAAACCTCGGGCGCTGGCACTCAGTTTGTGAAAATCCGGCCGGAGGCTGTACCTCTTATGACGTCATAACTCCGTGACCTGACATGACCCGATCAATTTTTTTTCGGCAAAAGATGCGCAAAGGTTGCCCCAGAGGGTATTGAAAATTTCAGCCCGCTACGACAAGCCGTTTAGCGTGCACTTCGAAAAAACCTCAGGGGGGGTTGATACAACCCCCCCCCCCTAGGCGTTCTAGGGTTAAAGACCTAAGCACATACAAACAAAGCATTTGCAACACTCTCCCAAACGTTTCAGAGATGTGAATATGAATCATGACATCATGATGCCTTAAATGTGAATATATAGGCATAAGCATTGCCGTGCGCAAAAAAACTAACTGCAAAAAATTTCCCTTATTATACTAACTTTCACAAAGCTGAAGAATAATTGGAGCTCAATAAGCAGATGTTCTAGCAGCATCACTGAGTTTACAAAATTGCTCTAAAAAGACAGTTTTAGTCAGCATAATACCTACAGCAATGTAGACTTACAAAGGCTCTCGTTATAAACGCATTGATGTGCACAACTTTGTGTATCACTGTTTCTTCATTCTCAAAATCTTCCAAGCTATGAATCAGGCTCCACTTCGAAGATTTGCAGCATTTGCCATTATCTCAATTTCTCTCTTTAAAATAAGCTTCTAGCATACCTAAGTACCTACTTTGCAAGGCTTAGGAAGTGCCCAAAAATAGGGTTTCAGTTTTTGGTGAAAATGTTCGCCAAAAATAGTCACAGGGCCGTGACATTGGCACCGTCATGTTTGTCATGTTCAGTTCAGGGGCGTCGAATGATTGTTTGGGTGGGACCAACGTAGGGTGCTAACCTCAGGTGTGGGTCCTGGCTCAGGATAAGGCCACTCACTTAACAAAGCTGGTCGAAGGAGCTAACATTCTTTTCCATAGGTATCCGAAGGTTGGGACTTTTCAATTAAAACAATCACCATTCTTTAGAATTGTGATTTTCTATTGCAAATCCCAACCTGAGCTACCTCTCTAGGGGGGTGTTAAGCGTTTCTGCCGCGATTTTGGACATCTTGATACCCTCGAAAACGGCTCGTTAGATTTTCTTGCCATTTTCAGCGTTTGGTCCCGTATGGGGGAGCTACCGGCTGGTACCGGTCGCTTGTATTCCTGGGTCCAGTGACTAGTGGCTGCTTTTTCCGAATCGCCAGCTCAATTGGAACGGGGGTTATTGACAGAAAACTCAGATGACCTCAGTGACGTCGTTTATGACAACACGCAATAACAACAATGCAATTGTGATTGAGGCAGTTTAAGATAATTTATGGTGCAAAAATAACAGTTTCCGTACTTTCCCAATTGACCTACAAAAGCCGATCAGATCACATGGCCGATCTGACCTCAGGTAAACCTTTGGAAAAAAAATCCCAGATATACGGATTGCGAGGCCTTAGAAGTTTACTAAGCTCTGTGAGTTTCATCTCCCTGCGAAAGATCTTCTGGCGTTGGGGGCGTTGTGATGTTCGACAGCTAAGGACTGTGCAGAGGTTTGCGTACGACATCATAAGTCAGTAACCTGACCCGACCTTAAAATGCGATTGGTGTCAGTGTCACGCAGTTCAGCTTGAATCAAAAGTCGGTTGTACCGAGCTCTCCATCCCCATCACGTTCTTAGCAATCGCAAGAAACGCGTCAGGGGGGGGGGGGGGACTCGCCGCCCACATCCCTCGGCCGGCGAGAATGCATAAAATCGCATAGAATCAATAACAACTATCCCTATTCCCGCCCATAATTCAGAGGGCAGAGAGGGGTGAGATTTTAATGAACCATGGGGTCACTCGTACACGATTACTGTTGAATCAAGAACAACAGAACTGTTGCCATCATGAATGGCCGGCGGGCTCAGCAACAGCCATAGGGAGACATCTAATATACTCAGGAAAGCATTCATAGAGCAGGCAGGGCAGCATGCCAGCGTGCACGAGTTGGTCCAAAAGTTGGTCGGTAGTTGAGCCCCGAGCTCCGACTCCCGATGATGAGAAGCGCTCCAGGCATTCCGGAGCTTCTCGGCGCGAGTTGGATACTCTTTTGGGAACGGGCCTGTGGCTGTTGGGAACCACTAGTTAAGGGCAATGAGTGGCAAGCATGGGGCTCGGCTATGGCAGTATGCTTTTAACTTTGGCTCCCGCTTTATCCCAAATACCGGGAAATTCTCGTTTAGGCGCGAACTTCACCTCTCATGCGGCCTAAGAAGTTTGTCCGAAGTTCCCTTACGGGTTTTCGTGGATATCTCAAATAAGTAAGCACATACCCGTAAGTGGATCTGCTTAAACTTCAACATATATTTATGTTCAATTTTCTCATATCTTATCTGACAATCTCATGTAAAGTATCTTATCAATCAAGGCTTCAAAGATATAGGGGCACGTGGAGTAAGAGGGACCAGCTAAGGTTTGAGGTCGCATATCTTGCTACACTGCTCAGTGCTCTTGAACCTCTTATTGTTGATAGTCTTTTGACTGCTTTATCCTTCCTCTTTTGAGATATGCTGAGACTGAATTTTGGGTTAAATAAATATAGGTGGTGCTTGCTTTTAAAGGGTGGCATGTCAAAATCATCGACAAGAAAAAAACGCGGGGTAAGACGGACCACCCAGCAGTGCCTGTTTTCCATTTATGTCCTGCTCTGTAATATTGTATGTAGAAGCAATTGGAATGGTAAAATAATAGAATAAGCCTTTGTTCCAAATGTGGTGGAAGTGCATCTAAAAGCTAGGACACTGTGTTGCTTGTCGTTTGGCATTAATGCATGCCAGCTGAGCACTTACAGCATGGCTCACATTCAACCAAAGATTTCTTCCAAAAAAAATAGCTTACTAAAAAACGCATGTCAATGTTTTACCATAATTTTTCAGCTGCGGGATAAAATGGATCATCACAGGTTAATATGAACCACAGTGGTCCGTCTGGCCCCGAATCTTAATTCTGTCATTACCATGATGTATATGTTGAATAGCCCAACATTGCGAAACCTTGTGCGTTCCTAAGTGTGACTTTAATATTGTTCTTCACAGCAAAGTACTAAGAAAAAATTGATCATGCAAAGAAGGCGCCAAATTGAGTCATCCTTAGGCCTCTACCATTATGGAAAGCAGTGCGACGAAGAGCAGCATCATTCAGTCTTAATGGCTCAAAATCCATGCGTCCTGGACCCAAGAGCCCAGTGCGGCCATTGGTACATACGAAGGAAAGCAAAGGTAGTGAGTATATGTTACAAACATAAAGCAGCAGACTACAGCAGCACTTCAGCCGGGAAGGCTGGTGGTCTGCTTTGCCCCGGTGGCCGTCTTACCCCACCTTCCCCTAGCTGTAATGTCACTTATTAGGTCATGTTAGTCCGAAATCCACGACACTGATCTACTGGTATTGTATTGTATTGTATTAACTATTGGTAGCTACGGCGGCGCCGTTGATTATCGTGCAGTCTATCGCACATACATAGATGGTTTGATCTATCCACTCCCTTCTTACCAGCCTTGCCCAACGATGCATATAACATTATATGCCCAACGATGCATATAACATT